ATTTCAAAAGGGCACAGAGCGATGGGTGAGGAGTAGACCTTGGGCATCCTGTACCTCCTGCTCTGCCCTGTCCATCCCTGTGCTCTGCCCTGAACAAAAACTCCTGGGTATTCCTGGGTCATGTTTGCTTTTTGCTCAGACTAGTTTCCCAGCTAATGCTTTTTGAAACAGCTTTGGAATTAAGATTTCCATATTTATGTTCCTATTAACATAGATATATTATAAAACCTAATGAGCTTATGTAACAAATTGCTACATTACCTTGTTAACAATTCAAGAGAGGATCTGTACTTAGGTAGATAAGAATGGCATTTGCAATGGCACCAGCTCCAGTAAAATTACAAGGAGCATCAATTGCATGCTTCAGGTCAGAGACTGGAGCCAGGAGGTCTCCGGCAAGGCCCAATCCTGCCGACAGGTGTGTGTGTGCTGTGTGCCACACCAGAGCTTCAGCAGGGCCATGCAGCCTGCACCGCAGCATCGCCATGCTGGGCCGTGCAGCCAGCAGCCCATGGCCAGGCCTTGCTGATGGATCCAAGGTGAAGCGGTGGTGGCAGACCCAGCAGCACCTCTGTGCCGTCACAGACTTCCTGTTTTGAGCAAGACCCTTTGGGCATGTCTGCAGAGAGCAGAGCTTTCTCTGTTCCTGCTCTGGGCTGGATGGATGTGTCAGAGGGCTTGGGAGGCTGCCAGCCATCTCTCTGCCGGAGCCGGTCAGCCTGCTCCAGTTGGGAATCGGTGTTCTGGGCACTGCGAGGGCTCCTGGAGCTCCCAGATCCCATCTGCCCAGCTCGGGGCAGGGGCAGGGTGAGCTGGAGGTGTTCATAGCTTGTAGATATGCTTTACATTTCCGTGTTTCCTGCTGCCTGGCTATAAACAAGGAAATACTGCATCCCTAAACTTTGGGAACAGGAGCACATCATGCTGCTTGCATGCACGGGTAGTGCAGATCTAGCAAAGGCCGTAGAGCACAGCTGATGTTCAGAGCCTGCACCAGGACACTCGTGTTCTCTGCTTGCTGCAGATATCCCCACTGCTGACCAGGTTTGTGGGCACAATACATGCTCCAGAGAAGATGGGAATGGCTTTTAGAACGCGAAGGCTCAAGAGTCTGAAGTGGCTCCTGAGCCCCTTCCTCCCCCAGTCAGCACAAGCAGTTTGGTACAGACAAACTCCTGCACTGCTGCTCTTCTGCCTGGTCTGCAGGCAGCTGTGCAGAAGCGGGGAACTCACCGCTCCCTGCCATGCTCTGCAAGGACTCCCTGTCACCATTTACAGGCCACCATAGCAGGGCCAGGTTTGGGTTCCAGAAGGCAGTGCAGGGCTGGCTGTGTTTTGCTGGCCACCATAGTGGCTCTGCTGGCATTATGGGCTGGCTGGGAAAGGGCAGATGACACCTGCCGTGCCAGAACGACACTGTCTTGGAAACCTAGGAGCAAACTTGAACTGCTGCAGAGATCTGCACTGCTTGTGATATTGCTCCGAGCTGCTCTTAACCACACTACAATAGATTTACAGTCTGGCTGAAACACAAGCAAGGATTCCTTTGGCAAAACTGTGCTGGGATAAGCTATGCTGACAGAAGAGCACTTAGCTGGTGTATTCTGTGTTTACACAAGAGGAGTGCTTTATCGGTCTAGCTATACTGGCAAATCTCCCCTCGGGCTAACTTGTCTTCTCTCTGCAGCTCTGCTGTGGAGCTGCACGGGCAGAGTCCCTGAGGAGGGGTGGGTTGCTGGGGGGCTGTGGGATCCTGGCGGTGCCTGGCAGGCACTTTGCCAGCCCTGACACATGGGCTGCAGCCCAGCCAGCCCAGCACCCCTCTCTGCAGACACAACGCGCTGCGGGGGAAGCCATCATTTGCGTGGGTGCAGCTTGACATGGTTGGAGCCCATGTCTGCCACTGGATTTGCATCCATTCAGCTGAGCTGGTTTTGTTTTCCAGCCATGATTGTTTTCAATTCTAATGCAGCCGAGCACAAGGAAGTGGCGGCCCTGCTCTTCTCTCAGCACTGGAGCTGGCTTTGCAGGGCGACCCGCCGTGCTGCAGCGATGCGACCTGCGACTGCAAGAACTCTTCCCCAACGTCAAAATTTCCTCCCATTCCTCGACAGGCTCTTGGCCCACTGCTCCCCAGAGCAAAATTCCCAGTGCCCAGACGGAGGGAGCAGCTCTCCTCACATCCCTTCCTCACCTTCCTTTGGCTGCAGTCCAAGGCTGTGCTCCTTAGGGCTGTTATCTCAGTGCTCGACCACCACGTCATCCCACGGGACAGATTTGATCTGGACAGACGTGGGCCCAGCGCTGCCTTCCTGCTGTGTTAGTCAATGCACGTGCTTATGGGCAGCTTTGGTGCTGCTGCTTTTCTGAGTTGGCTTTGGTGACAGTGTGATGGACCACATCTGAATGCAGTGATGTGGGCAAAAGGCATCTCATGCGGCATAAAGCTGCTGGTACCAAGTTAACATCAGCCTCTTTTTTTAATTGTACTGGTAGAGCAAATGTGTACTGTCTCAGTGCTTTCCAGTGGCAGATTTGTGTACTAGTGGTAAAAGATTTCAAGCTGGTTGAACTATTGCTCAGAGGCATCTGGACACTGGTTCCTATATCATTTGGGACAGGAACATGCAGCTCTTCCCTGAGACAGTTATGGCACAGATTGGAAATCCAGCAAACACTTTTCTTACAGCATTTAAGCTTCTGAGGACTGATCTGTGCCAGGCACTTTTCTCTGCTCCAGCAAGCAGAAATTGAGAACAGGCAGAGAGAGCTGGGAATCAAGCATGAGAGCCACAGCTGCCTGACCACAGTGGTGCTCCTGTGCATAACTGTAATGACAGCAGGCACACGAAGTCTTGGACAGTGGCTGCAGGTAGAGGGAAAAGGGATGATGGCAGAAAAAAAATTGCATTTCCAAATGTCCAAAGATGCCTGAAATGCTGCCTGAATTCAGACTTGAACAGATGAACCTGCGTAGTGTGGGCTCCATTTTATTACTGAATAGTGAAGGGTTTTAATGCAAATGCAGTCATTCAGGCAGCCCAAGTCTGTCCTTCTGTAATCATACCTGTATTCAATTAGGGGAACACAATTAAATGGTCCAAAGTGATGTGAATTCTTACACCTGGGAGTATCTCCCTCGTGTCTCTGCAGCAATAGTGCTGCATGAAGTTTTGCGAATCATTTTGCGTAGGAAAAGAAAGAAGCAAATCATGCCTTGCAAAGGTTTCCTGCAGTGACTGTAATGTCATCACAGAGCCTTGTCTGTGCAGATACACCAGCAACATCAGGTCCTACATTCCAACACCAGGAATGCAGCTCGGAGTGGGCTTGGAAGAATTTGGAGCTCATTTGCTGGCAGCCCCTCACTGCTGCATTATTGGTGTGACTACAGATGATGGAGTGCAATAGGGGTAGAGTTTTTATCAGCAGATCAATGCTTTCTGCCCAGAGCTCTGCCCCTCTCACCACATAGCAGTGCTGCAGCTCACCCAGCCCTGCCAGCACACCACCAAGGAGGAAATGTGGTGCCAGCAAAACCTCTGCATTTCCGATACGCTGCAATTAAGAGAACACCTGTGGTAATCTCTGAGCAGGGATGAGTACTAGAAAAGAGTGGCCTTTGTGTCTTCTTTGCTCCTCAGTGGTAAAAAAGAGCGAAAGGCTCTGGGGGTTTGTATTTGTCTCCAAATGATTTTTGCATTGCTTTTCTCCTGTATGGCATATCAGATATGTGTGTGATATCAGTGCATGCGAGTTCAGATTTCCTCTGCCCCAGTGCTGGGTGGAAGGCTCAGATGAAGACTATGGGGAGGGATTGCAGGTTTTCAAGAATCTGGACTACAGGAGTAAAAGAGAAAGCAAATTTGTTTTCTTCTTTAAATTGCCCTCAGGGAAAATCTTCAGCTTCAGCACACGTGACCCAATTTCTCCACATGGAGGTCATTCTGATTTCATTATCCCTTTGGGATGACTGAAGAGAGGCAGGTAAGTAGAAAAAAGGTGAATAGTTCTGTAAATTCCATTTGTACCATACAGGTACTGCCTGCATCTCTTCTAAACTCCCTAGGCATGTGTTTTGAAGCATCTCTGAAAGTAGAAGTTTAATAAATGTGTCTATCTGGATTTCTAACCTCACGTGTGTATACATACGTACATGGAGAAGTAGGCATGTGGTGAATGCCCTGCAGGATCCCCAGGGCTGGGACGAGAGCCCTTATATCCCATCCCACTGTCAGAGGAGGGACTGTCCCCAAACCATCCCCACTCTGCCTCAGCTGTTGCCTTCTGAAAGTGTGCTGCATCATTTAAGGCATCAGACTGTCTGCATATGCCCTGAAAGCAGAGGAAAGGATAAGGAGAGCATCTAGTGCCATGTTTTACCGTGTAAGTACAGCGCAGTGGCAGTGCCCGCTCCTTTTTCTGATAGGGCAAAAGGAATGGAAGGTTCACATTTTCACACTGAGGAATTTGTATTAGCTGCAGCCTGAACTGTGCTGAGCAATGGTTTTTCAGCTCATTTCTATGCCTGCATTTGAAATATTTGCTTTTCTGCTGTTTTGGCCTATTGGAATCCTTCTTTTTGTGGCACTGGCGCTTTAATTCCTATTGTAGTATAGGCAGTTAGCTGTAGGAATGCGTGATCCATCGAGGCTTTATTTTTTAAAGTATGAATTACGCATATCATGCCAAAAGCTGTTTCTCTTTTTGCTTTCAGAAGGGAGCTAGATGTGTGTATTCTGATTTCTCATTTAGCACTATGGTGGTCTGAACTTCACTTTTTTGATGTGGAGCCTTCTTGCAGCACTGACACACACAGCCTGCTGCTTCCTTTGGAGCAGCGCCGGCTCATAGCACCAAAGCTGATGCCGTTGCTGTTCCTGCTGGACGTAAAACAGAGGGAATAAAAAGGAAAAACGAAATCATCTCTCCAGCATGGACAGACACAGGCAAAATGTCACAGCCCTGAGGAGGAGCATCATGGGGTAGTCAAGCAGGGGTCTTGGGGAGCATAACCCCTTTCTCCCTCATTCCCACCTGCTGGAACCCAGCACTGCAAATGTTGCTTTCACTGAAAGGATGAGATGGAAGTAAATGCAGCTGCAGTGACATTCATGGTCATCGCCTGCCTCCGAGGCACGGCCAGGCTGAGAGCTGGGCTCTTGCTCGCCCTCCCCGTGCTGTGGCTCAGCCCCATCTCCTGCCGTGCACAAAACTTTGTGCGTGCAGCTCCGTGCAGGAGCCCCGGGCAGCCGTGCCTCGCTGCTAAGCCTCTGCCACATGCCATGCCACATCTAACCTAGGGCCCCGAAGTGCCGGGTGTCAAAGTCTGTCACTTCTGCCCATGCATTGCTAAGCACAGCCTCCTGGCGGGCAGCACGCTATGGCCGGGGGACTCTGCTCCTCTGGGAGAGAGCGGGGAGGAAGCAGAGCTGACTTCGCGTTTATTAAGCAAATTAATAGGTTGGGAAGAAGCAGCTGCGATGCGGGCACGCTTTCCCCTCGCCTCCTGCATTAGTGAGGGCTGGCAGAGAGGCAGGCAAAGGGCACCGACCGCACGTTCCCAGCCCACAGCTATGAGCTGGGGGCAAAGGATGCTCGCAGTTCCCTGTCCCGCCTCACCTCCGGCGCCGCTGTGGTTCTGATGGCCGGGGGTAAAACCCGCTGCCACCTCGCGGGGTGCGGGAGGGATCCCGGTGCGCCGCTGGCGCCGGAGCCAAAGCTGCCGGGCCGCCACGCGCGTAGAGAGACTCCCGCCGGTCAGGGATGCTCCCGGTGCCGGCAGCCACGGGGAAATCCCCCCCTGCACCTCCAGGGCGGGCGTTTTTGTTTGGTTGGTATCTCGGGGGGGGCTGCGCAGGCGCGCTGCTCTGCGCCCAGGTGCTCGTGACTCCTTCCCCCCGTAGACCTGCAGGACGGGTCCGAGCGGCAACGATGTGTTCTGAGCTTAGCCGGATCCCCGCCCAAGGAAGCCCCCCATAGAGCCCGGCCGGGCTGAAGTTCTGCTCTCCCAGCGCTCCCCACACGCGCCATGGAGTCACACGGAACGACTCCGGGGCCGTGGAAGTCTTTATGCTGCTCTGCGGGAGCCGAAGCGAAAAGCCGGGCAGGTTTCTGCGGCGTTAAGGACAGAGATACGTGCGCGTTTAAATAATTTTTTGAGGAAGGAGTATGTAACCAATTAGCATCCCCACGCTCTCCTATAATTGCTGCCAAATAGGAAAACTACCGAGTGGGACAGCGGGCTCTGCTGTGCTCCCCGAGAGAGCGCACACCTGGGGGTGCTTTACGGCCCCTCGGGAGGATGCAGCCTCGTAAAAAGAGAGCAGTGAGGGGGAGCTGAGCCTGCAAGCAGCCGGCAGCCCGCCCTCCTTGCAAGTAGGCGACGTCAGCAAATAAGGGTACTGGGTTTTTTTTTTTTCCTTTCCTTTCTCCCCCCCCCCCTTTTAATAAGTCAGGAAAGCTGCCACCTGCCAGCAGCCGCCTCTCCTCCCAGCTGCTCCATCGCCTCCCGCCCAGCCCGCTTCTCTCCGGGTTAGGTGTGAACGTGGGGGGGCTGCAGAAAGCCACGCTTCGCAGCGTTCCCTTCCCCCTCCCAACCTTGGGAAGAGGCCCGAGGTGCCCCGAGCATCCCTCGATAGCAGCACCGGCGCCGGGCCGGGCTCGGCAGCGCCGCTGCGGGGTCCGGGGATCTCTACGGGAGGGGCGGCTCGAGGGCTGCGCTCCACACCCCGTGCTCAGCCTCCTCTGCTCTCTTGGTTTTCTAGGAAGCCAAGGCGTCCTTTTGTTTTGGTAATTTCTTCTAAATCCCTCTTTCACGCCTCTACTTCTCTATATTATACATATAGGTATACGTAATCAAATAGTGAGCCGAATTAGTCTGCGTTCTTTGGTCCGCTGAAGTAAACAAAACGCAGGTGTTCAGATCTTGAAAACACCAAAAAAGAGGAAAACTGCGTCGCCCCTCAGTGTGACGTTTGCGAGCAGAAGGGAAACTGGTAAAAACGCCCACGTTGTTGCACCGCAGGATGCCTTCGGGAGAAAGGAGGGCGATCTTCCCAAACCTGGGGAGCTCGACGGTTCCCCTCCTCGTTTCTCTTTAAATCCATCTTGTCCCTTTAATACAAATGAACTTTAAGCTCCCCCTGTCTTTTATTATTTAGATTCCTAGTCTTAATGACGCCAGGAGCCGCGCGAGCACACTCGCTAATAATCGTCGTGAACTGCATTTCAAAGAAACATCCCTGGAAGAAAAACACCGTCGTTAAAAAAATAAATAGATACTCCACCAAAAATGATAATGCGAAGTCGCTGCTGCTGGGCTCAGCGCAACGCTGCAAATCAGCACCTGCGTGCCAGGTCGGGCTGATAACACCGCCAACGGTTACCTGCAGCAGCCCCGTCCGCCTCGGATTTATTTTTGGATCGTTCATTTAATCAGGGAGAGGTGCTGAGGGTGTTTGGTTTTAATTGTTATTGGCGGTGGTTTTATTATTATTATTATTATTATTATTATTATTATTATTATTATTATTATTTCTTCCCCGATCTTCAGGAAAAAAAAGTGGCGGAGGTTCGTTCAGGTCGGGATCCCGGCGTGGTTCCGCCCGCAGCCTTTCGGAGCAGCTGCCGGGCACGAGAGCTGCGCACTGACCGGACTCGGCTTTGTCCCGAGCACAGCAAACCCGCAGCCGCCGCTCTCGAGTAAACGAGCTGTGATCCGGACCTTCGAACACTGCGAGATGTCGCTGCTTTTGAGCACGACGTTCATTTTGTCCGAGGCGCAGCGCCGCAGGGATGGGGCTGTTGCGGGGGCAGAGCTCTGTGCCGTCGGATGGAAGCGCGCTGCCTGAAAGCCGCGGCACCGCCCGCACCGCCGCGCATCGGGGACGCTCCATCAGCGTTGTTTTACCTAGGAGGGATTGAGCCCGGCTGCAATAACCTTGTCGGATAATTAAGCAAATTATACCTTAACCATCGGTAGCTTACAAGTTGTAATCAGTAATTCAAACTCCCGACAATTATGCAAATCGAGTTCGGGCTGCGCTCGGACTTTTTCTCGCTTTTGCGGCGAGGGTTTTGCCGGCGTTCCGAGCAGCAGCCGCCGGAGCCGCGTGGGTTGGGAGTCCGGGCGCACTTCCACGCAGGGGGGGGCGGCCGAACAAACAGCGCGCCTCCCACCAAGAATAAACCACAGACACGGAGAAGGAACGCGGCACTTCAGGGGCTGCCCTCCTCGCAGCGCTCCCGCAGGCGGTGCCCACGCGTACCCCTTCCCGCGGGCCGGGGCCGCTCCGAAGGTGGGGGGGGGAGTCCGGCTCCGCGCAGCCTCCGCGGGCGCGCAAGGAGTGGCTTAGGGCCACGCCGCCTCCTGAGTGGCTGCCGGCCGCGGCTCCCGAGCCATCCCTGGGGAGGAGTTATGATAATCCTATTGCCATTAAGGGCGTCTGGGCAGGGAAAAAAACCCGAGTGACCATTAGCGCGGGGGTTTAGTCCGCCAGCAGCCTTCATGCCTGCCAACTGAGCTCCGTCCGGGGGGCAGCTCCTCTTCCCCAGCGCCGACGTGGATTTACCGCCCGTGGGGGGGGGCTGAGCTCTCGTCTGCTTTCGGTACCGCACACCTGGGTTGGACGCTGGACGCCATGTTGTGGAAACTGGCAGATAACGTCAAGTATGAGGAGGACTGCGAGGTGAGAGGCGCGGGGAGGGGGCGGCGGCGGGGGTCGGGTTGGCGGTGCGGGGCAGCGCCGCGTTGTGCGGCCGCGGGGCTCTGCCCGCTCGGTGGCGGCCGTAAGCGTCCTTCCGCCACACGGAGTCCCTCCGTTCCCCGAGTCTTTTCCTTTTGCTTTTTACTTCGTTTAGGATTTCTAATTTTTTTTATTATTTATTTATTTATTTCTCCACCAAAACTTCTGGATGTTAAAATAAAAAGGGGCATCCCCGTTTGTAAGGAGCCGGAGGCAGCGCCTTACGGCACGGGGTTTTGCCCCGTACAGTGAATCGGAGCAGTAAAAGTGGGGAGGACGGAGCGCGCAGCCCCGAGCACCGCAGCTGTCGGACCGCTCGAGGGGAACGGCCGTAAGGAAAGCCGCCCTGCGCCCTTCCCGCAGCCCCGCGGGGCGATCCCGGGCTGCGGTCTCAGTCTGCCCGGTTCTGCCGGTCATCGTCTGCCTGCCCGGTTGCAGCAGATTATCTGTAGCCCTCGCTTCACGCGCCATTAGGACCCTATTCATCTCCTATTAACCAGCGCTGTTATTTTAACGACCGTGAAGCCTGAAACTGCTAAATCTCGGGATCAGCTTCATGTAGACTTTTAAGCTTTGACTGCTGAGATTTTGAAGTGGGGGTTGGGGGGGGGAAAAGCGCGTCCAGTTCCGACCGGGCGCTGAGAAGCCGTCGGGGAGCGCCGTGCGGTGCTGGGAATGGAGCCTTTCCGCGGGCGCGGAGCCGCCTGTGCTGCGGGTCTGCGTGGAAGCGGGCCGGTGCCTTTTATTATTTTTTTTCTTTTTATTTTTAATGGTGGTTGTAAGATGTTGATAGGTTCTTGGAAGTGTAGGGGTTACTGCGGTGTATTTGTGATGAAAGTGGTGGGAGTTGGTTCTTAACCTCTTCCCTACAAGTTGGGTTGATTTCCTACGAAATGCCCGAAAATAGAGAAGGGCGGCTTTTGCCTCCCCCTCTCCTCACCCCCCGCTCCCTCCCAAATTGTTCCCTGTTGTCGTGCCTCGAGCGCCCGGCGCCTGCCGCCAGCGGCCCGGCAGCCCCTGACCGCCGCCTCCCTTCTCCTCCCTCCCCCTTCCGTGTGATTTCCAGGACCGCCACGATGGGAGCAGCAACGGCAACCCGCGGCTCCCGCACCTCTCGGCGGTCAGCCAGCACCTGTACAGCCCGGCCCCGCCGCTCTCCCACTCCGGAGCCTCCGACTTCCAGCCTCCTTACTTCCCCCCCCCTTACCAGCCGCTGCCTTACTCCCAATCCAGCGACCCCTACTCGCACCTCGGGGACCCGTTCTCCATCAACCCGCTGCACCAGCCGCCGCCGCCGCCCCCCAGCCAGCAGCAGAGCGCTTGGCCCAACCGCCAGAGCCAGGAGCCCGCCGGCCTCCCCCCGCACGGCCGGCCCGGCCTCGTCCCGCACCTCTCGGCGCTGGAGAGCGGCTCGGCCGGCGGCCGTCGGGAAACGTTCCGGCGCTCCGACCTCTTGTTGCCCCATGGGCACGGCCTGGATGCCTCGGCGCTGGCCGACAACCTGGGGCTCCACGACATGGCCCATCAGATAGAGGATGTACAGGTAACCACCCCTCACCCCGCAGCCTGCAGATGCCCGAGCGCTCAGCCCAGCTTCGCCGCCCCACCTTCGGAGCGAAAGTCGCTTTTTCTCTCCTCCCGGCCCCTCAATGGGGCGGGTGGGCTTCGCGACCCCCCTCAATTCATTCCTCCTCACGTCTCAAGATGCAAAACTTTCTCCCGTTTCTATTTGCAGAACGTGGAAGACCAACACTTACTAATGCACGACCAGACAGTCATTAGAAAAGGTGAGTACGGCGGCACGCTGCTTGCTTTCCCTTCTCAGTGCTCACGTTGGGTGACGCAGCGGCGCACGGATGCTCCATCATCTCCTAAAGCGGAGCTGGGGGTGGTTCTGTGTGTGCTGCCTCCGGAGCGGAGCTGGCGACAGGGGCAGCTCGTCCCCGCCTGCCGGTGGTCGTGCCCCCCCTCCCCCGTGTGCGCGGCGGGGCTGAGCGTGGTGCTGCAGCTGTTACCAGGGAGCTCAGCTCGGTAGTAGCTCTTTTTCTTTTATTTTTCTTTTAATCCCCCCCATTTCCCTTATTTGCCATCAGCTCGGTGCGGTGAGCCTGCTTAGCTTTACCTTAATCGAAGCGGTTTTGTAGCCGGGGAGCGAGAGCAGCAGTGACTCAGTGCAGGAGTTTGGTTGTAAGGCTTTGGGGAGTTCTTTTTTTTTCTTTTTTTTTTTTTTCCTCCTTTTGTTTTTAAACAAATTCGTGCTCAAAAAAAAAAAAAAATATATATATATATATATATATATATATATCTGTGGAGGTTTTGCTTTGAAGACTTCAAACGAACACCAAACTGAGGAAAAGCAGAAGTGCCGGGCAGGGCGCTGATTGCTGCCTTCAGCTCATGGGAGAGCGATTTCGCTGTCAGATGGAGCACGGCCGAATCCCTCCCGTCGGGGACTGCAGCCCTTTAACCCATTCGGAGCCGTGGGTCAGCGGGGAGTGCTGATCTGTGCTGCATTGGCCCCATTCAGCCACGCACAGCCGTGTTTTGCTTTCAGTTCTCCTTTGGGTTTAATCCCCCCAGTACTCCCTGCTATGAATTTGCTGGGGTTCCAGAGGCGTTCTCTAGTGTGTCTGTGGTGGAGGATGAGCCCGGTGGAGTCTTTCCCCTGTCCTGGCTGAAGGATGCTGGCACAGCCTACAGCTAGTTCAGCTTCTTAGAAGAAGGGATTTGCTAACTCGCACACTGCTTCGTAGCTTTTTGGGATAGGACTGAGAGATGTTGTGAAGGTTATGTGCCTTTTATTTATTGTTTGTAAGCCGTGTTCTCTCGGCAGCTCCTTGCGCTGTGGCAGACCACTGCTCTGTTCAGCAGTTCAGTGCAGAACGAAATCGCTCTCCTGCCCTCCCCCTGCACAAAGCAGACCCTCTTCTCGCTTTTCTCTCCGGTTCTAAAATACCCGCTGCCCTCCTCTTCCCACAGGTCCCATTTCCTTAACGAAGAACAGCGCTCTGAGCCTCCCGTGCCAGAAGGACGGACTGATCGGAGTGGTCATAAACCCCAACGAAGTGTTCTGCTCCGTGCCGGGGCGGCTGTCCCTCCTCAGCTCCACATCGAAGTACAAAGTGACGGTGGCGGAGGTGCAGAGGCGGCTCTCCCCCCCGGAGTGCCTCAATGCCTCTCTGCTGGGCGGTGTGCTCCGAAGGTACGCTGCAGCCCGGCCAGTATTTGTCACTTGTATGACAGTATTCTTATTTTCCCCCCATGTGCGTGTTGTGTGATTGCAGCCAGATGAGGACAATGAGGAGCTCAGAGCCCTTTACCAAACTTCGGCTTTTTAAGAAGCCCAGCAGCGCTGAATCCTAATGGGCTTTGGAAATCTGCTTTGCTCTTGTGCCTCGTATGGGGAGCAGTGCTGCTCACAGCCCTGACAGCAGCGCTCCTTCTCTGTGTAACAGTGGATTTTGTCTCTAAAACTGCTGCTGGTGGAGCTTTCCAGTTCCTGTAACAAACCGTCTCCTGTGGAACGATTTTTGGATTAAATCTCACGATCTCGTTTTGCCTTTACAAAGATGCTCTGTATGTCTGGGATTCTTTTTTGTTTTGTTTTTTAACACAATTTGGCTCCTGATTGTTCTACAGCTGCTGGTTTCAGCAGTGCAGTTTGACACGTTTTGATTTTGACCTCTGCTGTGTTTCATCCTGGCTGGTTTGTAGCAAAGCGTTTAAAAGTAGGTCATTGGGAAAGAGCCTGCTTTTTATCTTACCCCCAGTAGAACCCTATTGAATGTCAGTAAATGGAATTTCTCATCTTTATTTAAAAAAAAAAAAAAAAAGTATCTTGAAGATAAATAAGACTTTTTTTTTTTTTTCTAATTACAGAGCCAAATCTAAAAATGGTGGCAGATCATTAAGGGAAAAGCTGGATAAGATTGGTTTGAACCTTCCAGCTGGTAGAAGGAAAGCTGCAAATGTGACACTGTTGACATCTTTGGTGGAAGGTCAGTCCTGAACATGTCTTAAAAATAAACATTCTTTCCCCCGTGCGCAGCTTTTTATCCTCCTAAACAAAGCACGGGAAGGCCAAGTTGTCAATGGGCTGCTGGGGGGGTTATTTTGAAGTGAGTGCAACAGGGGGGCACCGCAGCGACTGCTGTGCTGCCTTGGGCTGTGCTCCCCTCTGCCCCCAGCCCACCTGCCTGCACAGGGCTGCGTGCCCCCACCATAGGGCAGGGTGCTGCAGGGAGATGCCATTCCTCCCGTGTGCATGCCAGGCTCTGCAGAACACCCCGTCTGTCCAGTCTGTGCTCCCTGTTTGGGGTTTTGTCTGAGGGTGTGTGCAGGGAGGGCAAAAGGGATGAAACTGGGTTTGGTTCCCCACTGGGAAACTGGAGAGATGTGGGGCAGCTGCTCCGGTGCCCGGCCCTCCCTCAGCAGCGTCCTCAGAAGCTTTGCTAATAAATGTAGGCGTA